AGCCATGTACACCTTCCGTTATATGAAATAAGGGAGGATGGATATGTTGTACCACCATTTCTCCTTTCCGAAGTACAACATGCCATTTCATCGGTGAAAAGAGCACCAGGTCCGGACAGGATAAGACCAGAATGCCAGAAGAACTTTCTACCAGTCCTCGTAAACGCACTTGCTCGGCACACACGTTACCTATCTGAATTCAAGTTCCCTACTTAGTGGAAGACCAGCAAGACCGTGCTTTTGTTCAAGAAGGGTGTCCTCCACGACATCGGCAACCATTGCCCAATCTGCTTGCTCTTTGTCGACTACAAACGTTTCACTCGAGGCATCCTAAACAAGATTAACAGAACACTGGACGAAGGACAGTCACGTGAGCAAGCAGGGTTTTGAAAAGGATTTAGTTCGATGGAGCCCATCCACACGATGACAAGACTCACTGAATTATCTCGAGAGTACAAAAGACCGCTCTTTCTCACTTTCATCGATTTAAAGAAGGCCTATGACTCAATTGAGAGAGAGGCAGTCATGGAAGCCCTTGATGGTCAAGGAGTCGTTACTCAGTATATAATTCTTCGTGAACTTCAGAAGAGCTTCACAACCAAGATATCATCATTCTACAACGATATTATCATTGATGTCAAAAGAGGGGTTAGGCAAGGCGACATCATCTCGCCAAAATTATTTACCGCCACCCTATTGAACGTCATGCTAACACTGGAATAGGATAATATGGCAGTGAAAATCAATGGTAGGCAGTTACACCATTTTCGCTTTCCTGCTGAGATCGTCCTTATAACACCAAACATTGGCCAAGCGGAACGTATGCTTGCCGCATTTGATAAAGCTTGTGGAAAGATAGGTTTTCGATTAAATCTCACAAAAACGATGTTCATGAGGAACGGATTGGTTTTGCATGCCCGATTTACGCTCAGCGGAACGAATATTTCCGAATGCTACAGCTATGTATACCTAGGTCGGGAAACCAACCTTGAACGACTTAGCTCTAAAGTTGAGCGGAAGGAAACGAGCTGCTTGGGGAGCTTTCAAAAGCATCGAGGATGTGGTGAGGAGGGCAAAGAACACCTGACTCCTTTTCACATTTTCGACTCAACGGTACTTCCTGCGTAATATATATGCGTCGCAGACCTGGTCGCTGAGTAAACAGGATGAAAAATCACTCAGCGTTATTGGACGCGCAGTCCAGAGGACGTTGATAGGAGTATCCCGTGTTGCGCAAGTAAGGAAAGAGATCAGAAGCTCTAATCTGCGTCAACGATCAAAAATCAAAGATGCCGTTCTGTACGTCAAACAGTCGAAGATAAGGTGGGCCGGACACGTAATGCGTATGAATGACAAGCGATGGACAAAAGCCGTTAGTGACTGGATTCCTCGGGATGTCAAACGTACTGCAGGAAGACCACCGACCCGATGGTCAGAGTTCTTCACAAAGAGCCTAGAAGAATGATATGATGCTCAATGAGTTCCTAGGTTATGCCTATCATGTCTTAGGCCACTAGGCTACTCTTGCACGCGACAAGGAAAGATGGAAGATCTACTGGCGCCCGCTCGAGTCACTCGGCGATCAACGGGGCTACAGACTACAGGTGATAGAGGTGACAGTATAACATAATACGAAACCCGAGGAATGCTACAAAACCCTCGAAGCGAGCAGGATTCGAACCTGCGCGGGCAAAGCCCAATTGATTTCGAGTCAATCTCCTTAACCACTCGGACATCGCTGCACTAGTCACTGCAGTGGAGTCGGCCCTGACGTACACTAGGGATTGCCGGTTTCGGTCCACTAGTACAAAATAGTACGAATCTCGAGGAGTGCTGCAAAACATTCGTAGCGAAACTGTAACATCCGCCGTAACTCTAGGAGTACTACTTGCTTGAACCTATGTTGACTGCGAAAACGCGTTAGACTACTTCGAAACGAATGCGATTTCTCGTAAACGAACATAAGAGTAAAGGATACATAAAAACTCTAGCTCGCTGTCACCATTGTACCATAACGATACAGTTCCTCTCTATCGCTCCCAAAGACTCTGTAGGAAAGGTGTCTAACATGAATACTCCGTAGCATCATCAGTAATACACCTCACTGCAATGTACAACGGTTATTCAGTAGAAACGAGAGAAAGTAAGCGTCAAGAGGAAATAAAACTACTTGAATAGCACACTAATTCTACTGACTGGAGCAGCACTTCGTGAGGAGGGGCGATCCAACAGATAAGTAAGGGTGTATGACGGTCCGGAGAACGATTGAATCGAGGATATGTGGAACAGAAATTGGAAGAAAACTGCTCTGTCCCAACGTGTTTTGTTCTGAGAGAAAAAATAACTCTCGATATTCTTGTTGAGCAAAAGGAATAGAAAGAAAAAGAAATGTTAGAAAAAATAACATTCTGGTTTAAATCGAAATAGAAGAAATCAAGGAATGTAAATAACAACTGTTGTTTATTTTACGTGGAACATTCTGGTATCCACTTGTTTCTTCCATAAGATTCGTCACATTCGGTCGTCACGGTGACGCCTCTGTACTACGAGGATAATAGATGTAAACCGTTCGACTTGATCAATTCTTTAGGGATGCGCCGTGAATTCGAATCCCTTGAAAAAGTCCTAAACGCACATTTGGTCGACAGACTGACTTTACCGGGCCTATTGATGTATTAAGTGAGGATTTATCTTCGCAGACGAGTCTTTCAGCAACTTCCAAACACCGAAGGGATAGGAGACTTGGTTGCTCTGGGCTGCGAGAGTACTAGCTAGACAACTCCAGTGCATTGTAGGTCATCTCTAACTAATTTGCTACACGCAGTCCTGTCATTCTAAGATGGATTTGTTATAGTACGCAGTAATCACAAATGTAGTGAGCATATCACGTTGAGAGTTTACTATACTTATTATATTCCCACCTTCCATTACAGCCCAGTTCCATGAGCGACAATCTTCCTACCTTGAGAAAGTTGCGTTCACGGTACCCTTAGATAACCATGATGCCGTTGCTCAATCCTTTGGATGCCTCGTGCAACAACTAGGTCCTAAACTGGAACCATGAATCAAGAACCTTATCAAGGATTCGTGTAAAGGAGAAGATGTCCATAAGAAACCGAACCCTTTCAGATATCCTACTCATGCTCAATAAAACGATATTTTCGAATGTTCCATCTCATCAAGGTCAGAAAGTCAATTTGATCGAAAAATTTAGCTGTAGAACTGAGCTGAAAGAAATGGCCGCTTTGAGCAGTTATAACTAGGTCGACAATACAACGAACAAGACAAGGAACAACCAGGTTGCTACCTAGGTTTTTGGCTCAACGATAATTCCAACTTTAACGTAGAGTTAAAGCAGGACGCGTGCAGCGCAGTGATCGGAGTTGCCCAATACACATGGGATCGATCCCCGCACCCAAGGTTCGGCAATCCTTCCATCCCTTCGGGATCGGAAAGTTGGTACCAGACTTGTGTGGGCGGATAGCAGCATTGGCCTGACACATCGGTAGGCCACCGCGGACCATTGTCAAGGCCGAATATGCACTTAATCACCTCCAACGATGCTTAATAAAGTGGAATGCACGACACTTCCCTCAGGGACTGATCGATACCAAGAGGTTTATCCTTCTTATCCTTCTGACGTAAGTTAACTCCTCATTCAGAGCTGTACCAGCTACGTCGCAAAGAGGAATGATCTGCTAATCGTAAACGTATCAAGAACGCTATAGATAGAGTTATTAGCGTTTCTATCAACAAATGAAAAAGCAAATCCAGATTTTACACCTACGTCGCCAGTTAGGGATCAGAGACGACGTATCGATCCATCCAAAGCTACATAAAGATTTTGGTACAGGAATATGATAGTCTTCGTGGTCCTTAAGCTAACAGAATATACTGGTAACTCTAGCACTTCGTCGTGACCAATACAAAGTTCTTTGGAACGTGTGACAACTAAGTGTGACATTAGAAGCGCATAAGGTCGCTCAAGTACAAATGAGACCTGAATCGTAGTATGTAAACCACCTTTGTTATTACCAGTGATTCTACTAGTTACGAAGGTCTCACAATACCTAGAGACCTCAGTAAATAGCCAGTGTAAGCAAGCCAATTAAGTACCACGTAGCCGACCATAAGAAATTATGTTAAGATTAAAAAGATCTTCATTCGAGCATTCAGCATCCTGATTTCGGCTCCCCTAAGGAGTCTGCCAAGTAATATCGCGAAAATAGGATGTTCTTACATAACTAGGCCGTACGGAATAGTCTTCCATGTCGTGTTTTACCTTTATTCTCCTAATATTGTTCTTCTAGTCTATCCAGAAACATCCTGAATAAGAAAACTACGGGAAAGTTTGCGGGTGTTACATCTCTTAGGATCCAACTTATTTACGGTACAAAGAATAAAATAAAGGTCAAAGCTCTCGGCGTTGATCAATCCCTCAGGGATGGGCCATGAATTCAACTTCATTACACATCGTTGAAAGTGACTAAATACATATCTGGCTTTTACAATAACTCGCGGTGGCCTACCGATATTACAAACTTGAGACCCCGGAGGGAGGAAGGCTTCGTGGACCTGGGGTGCGAAGATCGATCCCATGTGCATTGCAGGGCGTCTCCGACCGCGCCCGTTTACAGCATACCTAGCAAATTATTATTTTTTGAGCTAGGAACACAGAATCTTTTACTGTGGATGAAAACATTCCACTCATGCGTCAAAACTAGTTAGGGTATTGCGTAAGTCACCAAGAATAACCACGACAGGGATTACGGCATACTGTAGTCCAACATTTGTGTTACGTGGACGTAGACCTGTGGACCGTTTAACACTTTCGACATTTTGGTCTTGGCAAGTTTTTACGTAAACCTTACTAAGCCTCGTCGTAGTGATTTGTACTTACAAGCAGTGTTATTGAATTGTGTTAACTGTGTTACTCTGGAGTTACCAGTTCTTACACTGTTTTGTTTCTCGTCCGTTTGAAATGTGTTTTAAGAGTCGAGATGGTTGAAGCTGACCAGGCATCAGATGAGGAGATGGACACAAGTGCAACTAGCTCCTTAGAGGCCGCTGCATTAGCACGAAAGAAGCGCCTGTTGGAGTTAAAGTCTCGCTTACATGGCATCGAAATGAAGTAAACATGGTGTTTGCAGTTCTTTTTAGTATGGAGAGAAGTATCGTAAGACTTAATCACGTGAATGTGTGCACATGTCATTTCCTAATTATTTTATTTACTAAAGAAAGTGCAATTACAGGGAAGAAGATTACGAAGAAGAAATGGAGAGGACGAAAATGAACAAAGAAGGAGAAGCAATTTTTAGGTGAGTTTATAAGTTAGGGACCATTTTGTTCTAATTTCATAATAAGGAAGAACTTATGTTGGCACATAATGTCTGTCTTTATCTCTTTTACCTAAATCTTGGCGTCAGTGATTAACCAACACGATACGTATTTGGATACTTGGATGACTCATCTTTACTGGTTGTGCGGGGCCCAGCATGTTCTCCGTTTTTCGGAGATTTGCTAGTTTAGCCATTGTAGTTCCCTGAAGTCCCGGGGTTAGCCTAGCCAAAGTTCGCCGCAGGTCGTCACCACCACAGACAGTTGCCGTTCTCTGGGATGAGAGGGAGATTTACTACCGTACGTCCAGTTTGATTCCGGGGCGGTGGTGGATACTGATACTGTTTCACTCTTAGCCGGGTTTCCTGATGTAAATGCCGTTCCTCCTCAACTTGGGAGACCCTGCTTGGGAATGAATACACCCGCTGTGCATCGCAGCCCGACACCCAGGAACACGTATAGGACGGTAAACCGTTGGCTGGGAGCCAACACAAGATGTATTTTATTCTGCACCAGCTGATGTTTCGCTTTATTTCTCCTTCATAACCTGGACGGATTCATATTAACATGTAACAGTACCCTTAAACTGTTTCCATACGTCCAGGACAGAGCTGTGAAAGTGCATTTCGACGGCGTCGTATATGTAAATTTAGAAAGCGAACCATCTTAGTTGTTGATTTTGTTAAAACCTAACAGAATTGATGTGGAAACGAAGTGGAATCCGGAGAGTATTGTGGTTCCCATTGTACCCTATGTGTTCTTAACTCTGGAGTGCTTCTGTTTACTTTGACGTTCCCATAGAAGTAACCAGTCATATATGCAGTCATAAAAATATATCTTTGCCTTTGTGTTATATATGTCACCTCAGGGACGACAAGAAAGCATATAGAGTGTTTGCTAACCTTTCGACGGCTGCTGTTGACTTTTCTAAACCTGCTCCACTTTTCAAAGTAGTTTATTTCTTTAGAAATGAAGAACAGATTATATTTCACTACCCTTGTAGAGTATAGGGATATGTTCTAGAGTAATATCTGTTTGGAGATGTGGCCTTTTAACTAAAAATGAGCTATCTCTAACGCTCCGAGTTATCATTTCTCTCTTCCCGTTCACAAATTTACTGTGTTCGAAACATATTTCTCACAAGTTGATTTTGTGTATGAATGCGAAACATAGCAATAATGGATAGGTGTGTTCTATTAGCTGATCAAAAGGGCGATTCTGTAATTTGGCGCTAGTGAAAGTGCGCATTTGAATGCTCTGAAGTGGAGATTCGTTTTGTTTCGGTTCCTCTCGGGTGAATTTTCTAAACTATGACAGTTTATTCAACACTTAGATGCATGTTCCAGTTCTAATATGTAAAATTATAAAAGGAAAACGTTTGGTGTGTGAACAATTAGGGAATGCTTAGAATCGAAAACGCGTAACTTGATATGGGTAGTTGTCCTATTGCCATTCCTCTGATCTGTAAAAAAAAGTATTTATTGGCGCATTTAAAGGTTTTAAAATACTGTCTAATGAGAGTTACGAGCTTATGGATCGACGACTCTTGCATATATTTTCGCTACCTCTATATCGCAATAGCAAAACATTATCAAATGACTTCCATATCGTGTAGCGCAATGAACGGTGGCGATCTGCAATATATGCGGGATCGATCCCCGCTCTCCGGGCTTACCAAGCTTTCCATCCCTCCGGGGTCGGCAACTTGGTAACAGACTTGTCTGGAAGGATAGTATCATTGGCTTGATACATCGTAGGCCACCATGTGTCATTGTGAAGGCCAGATATGCATTCAGTCGCTTCAAACGATGCTTAATGAAGTCGAATGCACCGCGTGTCCTTCAGGGGTTGATCAACGCCGAGAGCTTTATCCTTTTCTTATCATTCCATGTCATCACTGAATGCGTTTCTGTGGACTGGGTTCCATTACTTATACTTAGGTGCCTGTTGCGTAAATTGTTCACCATCATGCTGGTGTTTAAATGTTGTTTTTATTAGTTTAGAAACCACACGAAGGTGAGGCTTAGGAATTCTGTTGTCCAATTCGTGAATATTTCCATTATAGGCCTAACCGTAAGTTCTAATGGTGAGAAATGCATCACATAACCAATCAGTAAAAAGTTGTTCATCTTGATGTGTGAATTTAGAGAAGGAACATCTTAATAACCCATTCTTAAATGCAAGAAATAGCCGATAGTGTTAAAGCTGCTTACGAGCCTAAACCACCCTATTTCTTCTTTTCTTCTTTGTAGTGAAGGTCTAGACCACTACTGAGTAGTTTTTTGCAGATTTCCTTGAGAGAAAATGAAGGGACTAAAACATGAGAGTATTAGATCGGATTAAGGTACATATTTCGTAAAACCTTCATTTCAGTTAAGAGAATTGCGGTTGAATTACTCTAGTTCTAACCTGATTGAATTATTTCTCTGTTAGATGCGGTAAATTGTGAACAATTCATAGGTTCGTTTTCGGGTTTGAATAAATAGTCTAATAAAGGTCTATGAAGCTTTCGGCGTTGATCAGTCCCTGAGAGATGCGCCATGCATTCGACTTCATTAAGCGGCGCTGGAGGTGATTGAATGAAAATCTGACTCGCGATGGCTTAGCAATGTATCGAGCCAGTGCTGCTATGCTACCAAACAAGCCTGGTATCAACCTGCCGACTTAGGAGAGATGGAAGGCTTGGTGCACCTGGGACGCGGGGATCGATCCCATTTATATTGCATAGCGCCTTCGACCACTGCGCTACACGTACCGTAATAGTAATATTGAAGTCATTTTTAAGTTTTGTATTTAAGTTTACGCAAAGGTCATTTTTATTGTTCAAGTGCTCTTTCTTACACCTTGCACTTTATGAGGACTGGGTTACGATCCAATGATTATTGCACCCAAATTAAATTTACTTGGAATTTTTTAGTGCTATAGTTGATTTCAGTATTCTGTTACAAGTTCCTGCTTTATCTTGCTTTATCCAGGAATTACAAGCCAGCATCAGAAGTTGGAAAAGTGGTTCATCCTAAACCAAAATTTGACGTCGTGGAGGAAGTCATTGCTGAACACTTGGAGGTGATCAACAGTATGCTTGTGTTTTCATTGTCTAGCACCCCAGTTTTTTTATTTGGCGACAAGTTCATAATATGCTCTGCATATGCATTAATATTGCTTGGTTACAAATTTCAGGATACAAAAAAAGTCGAGCCTGTAACAACAGTAGATCTCTCAACTTTGGCACCAAAGAAAATCGATTGGGACTTGAAACGAGATATAGAGAAAAGATTGCAGGTAATGTCGCTCTTATTTACGCTTCTTTCGGTTTTTGCGAGTGTTATCTACTTATGTTTTAATCGTTTCACTAGTCTTGTGTGGGCAGGAAGGAGGGAGAGTTAGGTTGTTGTGTCCAGATATAGAAGTTTCAAGCCCTAATGAAATGACCGGCTATTCAACTACTTTATATTCCTCATTGTTAGTGAAGTAAAATACATCGTGGGTGTGCCACGATAGCAAAATTTTGTCCGGTAAAGGAATTCAAGTCACATAGACTCATGAAATATGCATTTCTAGAAGCTGGAAAGAAGAACTCAGAAGTGTATTGCTGAGATGATTCGAGAACGACTAGCAGAGGGCAAAGGAGATCTGGCCAGTACCGTTAATGCAGGAGTTCAATGATATAGTTTTTTCCTTTTTTTCCTTTCTTCAGTTACCGTAAATACCTTGATTTTTGCCATTATTGATCTCAAGTTCATGGTCAATAATCCTGGTCCTAAATCTTCTGTTATCACACTACGTAATTGAACAAAATCCGTCGGTTCCAATTTTCCGTGCCAACGTTTTTGTGTAAAATGAAATCTCGGCGTATTGTACGCCGAGTAAACGTCTAACACTTCTGCAACGACGTGACCCGCGTAGTTGTCATTTTGTTTCTGACGGTTTATTTTATCACATAGAAACCTTTGAAAACCACTAGATAATTCATTTAACTCGGACGTTCCTACGGCCGTTAGCCAGGAAAAGCTTAGTTGTAAACCTAGAAGCACTCAGAAATGTCGATAAGTCGACCAACAATGCGATCTAGATTAAGAGTCCACACAGAAAATCGCATAATATCTCTCACTTCACGTTGTTCAATATTTTATTCACTTTCTGTTGTTATGTTTCACTCCTGTTCCTTAAAATTGTTGGTTGTTGTACAACTCTTATCTCCAAGCTCACGAAATTTTTAACTTAAGCCTTATAATGAATAAGTCGGGTGGGGGGACAGGGGGTGCATAGAGAAAATTTCTCATAAAATATTCCCTGTATTAGGCTTAAATGGCCTTGCACGGATCCATGTAATTGTATTTGTTAGTCCTGGATGTAACTTAGGGCAGTATAAAATACTTGGCACAACGCCTGATTGCCTGCTGTACATATACATTCCTTCTTAACCATCGGGCACTTTACTAGGCGCAGCAACTGTTAACCATTGGGCACGTCACCAGGCATGCTATCGGTCACGGTTCATTGCTTGTGTCTAGATCGTGCGATTCACGTCACTTGCTTGGATGTGGCCAAGCTCCTTAGCACTGCCATTTGCCTTCTGACGACGTGTACAGATCGCCGTTGTCCTTCCTTCATCATTTTGCCCTAACAGTTGATCTTTTCTTCCACAACTCTTTAGTTTCAGTTAGGCAAAGTGATGTTAACTAAAGTTTTATGTCCTTATACTACATATTTTTCATTAAAGTTGTCATCAATCATCAATGCAATCATTATGTGTTGTCAATATGGCAATTTCTTCAAATACTTTCATTGTTCATGTACCCTGGCCCGCAAAATCTTCATCCTCATTGCTATTGCAATCCTGCAATCGCTACCACATTCTTGCACTATCAGCACGTAAATCCCAACCCTGTTGTAGTCATAGCAATATTGTTACATGAAAAATATTTACTAGTTAGTTCCTAATTACTATTTTCATGAACAATAAAAGTATTTGAAGAAATTGTCATATTAACAACACATAGTGATTGCATTGATGATTGATGATAACTTTAATGAAGAACATAAGGCTTTAATTAGCATCACTTTGCCTAACTGAAACTAAAGAGTTGTGGAAGAAAAGATCAACTGGCAAAATGATGATGGAAGGGCAACGGCGATCTGTATGCGTCGTCAGAAGGCAAATGGCAATGCTAGGTAACGTGGCCACATCCAAGTTGGTCGCGTGGGTCGCACGGTCTAGTCCCTAAGCAATGAACTGTGCCCGGTAGCATGCATGGTGACGTGCCCAATAGTTAACAGTTGCCATGCTTAGTGAAGTGGTCGATGGTTAACAAGGAATGTGTATGTAGGGCAGGCAATTAGGCATTGTGCCAACTACGTCATAACCCAGTAGGTTAGAAGCAAGACTGAAAAGTACAGTTAAATGAATTGGTACAAGACATATTTAAGTGAAAGATGGGCAATATTTTGCGAGAAATGTTCTCTATAAGAAATCCCTTTCCTCAAAAGAGTTCATTAACCGGAAATTTGACCGACAATTGGCTATTATTCCAATTCCAGTCGCCATGATGAAGCACATTTATTGGGTGAAATGTGCAGTAAGTACAAATAGAGTCAACGTGAACTGCAAAACTGTGTTTGCAGGATGCTGCACAGTAACGTACAGTAAGTAATAACATACGTACCACTCATAGGTATAGAGCTATAGAGCGAAACATCCATAACTTCAGCATGTTCTCAAACCTTCAAGTCTTGTGGTTCTCGAAATATTGTTGTCTGCAGTTGAGGAACTTTCGAAGTGGACGAAAATTAGGCATCCGTCCCATGCGCAGCACAGGTCACAAAGTTTAGACGTCGCGAATGTGCTAGACTTGTTGGGAATCTTTTGTTGATTCAAAGAGTTGTAAAATTTTATGGTGAAGTACTTCTGTGCAGAGTGTCTAACCTTTTGTTGAACATTATAAGTCTAGGTTTTCTCCAACTATTGCGTTTTTTAAAATGGACTACCGCTGTTGCACTTGCTATATATGGCACTGTGATAAAGTTTATATTTTCCTTCTATTTTGACACAATTCGGCATCATACGTATATCGTGCAGATTTCAGCACTTATTTCATTAGATTCATCTACTCGTAATCTATCATCCTCAAAGTTCTTCGGGATTGTATGTGGGTTCAGCCTTTGCCAAGAGATTCATGGCAATGTTTATGTTTGGTGTAAAGTACTGCTCATATCGGTTTTGCAAGAAATCCTACGATAGCCGTCCTAGGACGTTTCTAATTCTTATGAATAGCATAGAGCTCTTCCGAAATAAGCATGGTAGCGCTCCACCATCCCCGTATAGATTGAAAGGCTTGGTTAGCCGGAGGAAGTTACGAACCACACACTTCCATGTGTTGGATGGCACATGATAATCTTATGTCAAAGTTTTTTAAATCTCTTTATTTCAATCTTAATCGTTTTATTTGCTGCCTACTCTTTTTAATGACAGGGCATATTGCGAAATATAACTTCAATGATGCTGAGATATGTGCAAAACTCCGGACCGCAGGTGTCTGCTGTAGGAAACGAACGCGCTATTGTCCTTTCCGGGGAGTAACGCGTTCACCACCACACCATGCGGGTCCTTCGTTTTGCCTGTCTCTCAGCTAGTTTTACCGATCACTCGCCATCAGCAATCACCCGTCAACGGGATTGATCTGTGGAGCCCAGATCGGCAACGAACCCAGTTAAGCTGTGGCCCTAGTTATAGTCACAATTTTAACTTATTATTTACTGCCTACTCTTTTAATGGCAGGAGAGACCGAAACGAAGGACCCGCATGGTGTGGTGAAACGCGTTACTCCCCGGAAAGGACAATAGCGCGTTCGTTCCTCACCGCAGACACCTGCGGTCCGGAGTTTTGCAAATATCTCAGCATCATTGAAGTTATATCTCTTTATTTCCTTGAAAACCTTAAATACAAATTTTAAGCAAGTTTAAGCTATGAGTGTTAATTGGGATAAGTTATGCGTCCTAGATCCTTTGGGAACTAGAAAGGGAAGTCTGTTCCAAATTTTCCTATGTTATCAGCTTTTAAGTACTGTAATAGCTAAAAAAATATCAATATCATTTATTGTGCGGGAAGACCAGCACACTAATGAATGTACCAATCAAGAATTTACAACTCTTTATTGAATCTTTGCGATTTGTTGGATTTGGTTACATGGATTGTAGTAAAAATCTTCACAAAGCATTACGTCATTAACAATCTTACGTTATTATGCAAAACTTTTCAACAGAGCGCTTTAGATGAGATATGTGATAGAATGAGATGGTTTGATTAAGGCATGGTCCTCTACAAAGCATCCAATATAAGGCGCGAACATTTCGGCGCTTTTCTAGTGCAATATGTAAAATATTCTTTGAAAATCGGGCTCTAAGGTTTCGAAATACGGGAACCAACAGTATTTAGGTAATACTTTGTTCACGTGTCATTACCTTATCGTGAAAATTAGACACCTTATGCTCTTCAGCTGATAATCATATTATAGTTATCAATATCACCTCGTGACTTCTCATAGAAAGGAATGTCTTCTTGATCATGACGTTGGAAACCAGGGACGTTAGGGACACGGACATGTTGAACGGGGATGTCGGATTGCGTTGCAGGTTCGATTCCGTTTCCAGAATCGTTTACTGATTCCGGATGAAGAGCTAGAGCTTCGTTGTCACGCAAATTCATCTCGATATTTGTTACTACGTGAAGTGGATCGAGTGGAACACCTTCTCTGGTCTGAAAATCGATTACACATCCAATGTTGAGGCAAAACATCAAAATGACACAAAAGACCGACTTTCTATAAACCTCGGCATAGATGGTTGATATATCTATTTATATGATCTTATCTGATCTTATTTAGCTGATGCAAGGTTGATATAGGTCTTCGTTGTTGTTGTCGTTACTGTTGATGTTGTTGGTCGATGGCTGACGTTTCGGCGAAGTCGCCTTCCTCAGAGCTTGGACGTATTTTATATTAGAATACTTTAATTATTCGGTGGGAAAAAAGGCTAAAGTATTAATGAAGGTCAAAATGTTAAATAGACGTCATACTGAACAGAAAGGCTACTCATCGTGATGTTACGAGTGGGACTGGCCCACACGTTGTTCACGTGGGGTCGCAAGCACTACACACCGTGAGGTCAAAATATCATTTTGAAATAGGGCGCCAGGTCACGTGTGATAGTGAGGCATTCGTCTTTCCGGTTCATCTTTGGATTTTTGAAATTTATCCAAAACTCCGCAAGGGTCTTGCGCGTTGATGTTTTCGATTCCTGCGCTTCGATCCGCACAGTCACTTCATCGCCATTGTGCTTTTGCGCCCTATGCGTATCTAGAGGAGTGTTTAGACGGATTTTGACTTTCCCATCTAGATGTTTTTTATGCAGAAGCAAAGTGGTCTACCCGTTTCCTCAACGTGTTCCTCACCGCATGCCTTAGACGAGATCAAGTGTATTACACCTGAACTCGTGCTCTCCTGTTGGGACAGATTATACAGTTCTCTGAGCTGCACAAACGATCATAGAGATGTTTGCGAACTAACTGGCGGCGTATGGTATTGGGTGGGATGCCAATAAACTTTACATAATTTTCAAGACTACTTTTTTGAATTTTTAATCTCTTTATACTTTTATTTTAGTGATGAGCTATTATGAGGTTCATGCAAAACTTGACTCGGTAAAAGTTTTCGATCCCAAGCCGTCTTCAGAGCCGGAATGATTCGACTCGATTGTACCGAGCCTTTTATTCTTGTGATGATTAGTCTACGTAGCTGCCTCAAGTCCAACCAAATTGAGTAGAACACCTGTGCTCTTCGTTCGAACCGAATGAACTAATACGGCGTGAAGAACAAGAGCTAGTCAAAGCGCTGGCTGAATAAATTTTTATACTTACCTCGTCTTAGCTAACCAATAAAAAAAAGTGGATATTAATTGCCTATAACGGGCTTAGTGTTTCCTACAGCACTAATATGGGACAACGCGCGGTCACTTCAAAGTCATCGCCGTTGTGCTTTTGTGCCCTATGCGTACCTAGAGGAGTGTTTTAACGAATTTTAACGTTCCCATCTAGATGTTCTTTTATAGGGACATAAAGTGGTCGACCAGTTTCCCCGGTATAATCCTCACCGCATGTGTTACATGAGATCAAGTATATTATACCTAAACTCATGCAATCCCGTCCCTCCCGTTAGGACAGATCATACAGTTTTCCGAGGTGCACAGAGGATCATAGAGCCGGTCGCGAACTAACTGACGACGTAGGATGTTGGGTGGGATACCAATAATCGTCTTCTTAATGGCGTGACTTTCTTCATTTGATATGAAGGGCAGCTTAAAGGGGATCCTACTTTCGTATGAAACATTATTTTGGGAAACTGCCCAACGTTTTTCTCTAACCCGAGTGGCTTCTACTTCGTAGCCATTGGAAATGGCTATTTTTCGTGCCAGGTTTCGCGAATCCTTCCTTTCCTCTTCTCCTTTGCACATTTTTAACCACTACTTGGCTTGTGATACCATTTTGTTAAATAGCCACTTACTGAGAGCTTTATTTGGATGTTTAAGAATGGAAGCCAGTTCTCGGTTCGTTTTTCTCGTGTAAATTTTATATACTCTGACCTTCGGTTTAATAATTCAAAGCACTCATCCATCTGTTCTTGTGTGGAACAGACGATGAAGCAGTCGTCTATGTATCGACAGTAGAGTAAGCGTCGGTGATCGAGAACTGGAGCTTCCACCTTAGACATCAAAGCGATGGCAAGGCTTGGTGCTAAACGCTGCCTAATCGCCAGCCCTCTAATTTGTGCAAAATATTTTCCAGACCACCTGAAGATTGAACAACTAAGACATTGTTTTAAGAGAGTCATTAGTTGCGGAATCGAGAAGCTGTACACTTTTATCTTCTTTTCATGCTCTACGAGAAGCTCGAGAATGGCTTGCATTGGGGAGTCATTCGACACGTTGGTATAAAGTGACGTAACATCGAATGACTCAATTACATGCGTGCTGTTTGATTGCGCTCACCGTAGGTGGTCTAGAAATATTTCGGTGTTGGGCAAATGGGTTGGAATGAATTTTAGCAGCTAGGTCAGGATAAGGTTTAGGAATCACGTTATCCTGTCCGTTGGCCCGCCTATATAACTGATGATAGGTTCAACTTTAAATGATGATGGGTTCGTGGACGTAATATCATCAGTTGATGTAAGCTTATGTGTTTAATAAGCAAATAAAAGACAGGGCAAATTTAGTGTTCGCTTTAAGTCGAAAGATAACTGAAGGCTGTAAACCCGCTGCCTTTCCATGTTGACCCATTCTTCATTTAATTTCCGGTGTTGATTTTACATTCTTTTTCAGAGGATGCTCAAGAGAGAGGGAACATCATTGAGATGCTCCTTTGTTATTCTAATATCCAACTGACTAGGAATAACTACAAATTCTCCGCCTTTATCACTAATAGAAAGTCTAACAGATTTTGAATTGAAGAGCTCTCTAACCTAGTGGATACCACATTTTTGTTGGTGTGTGAGGTTGGAGCTTGTTTTTGTTCTTTGGTAATGATTAAGTATGCGGAGAATTTCGTCCGAAAATAAACAAAATGTAGGGTCAATATCGCTATTTGGTAGCTCTTGTTTAAAGAAAGTTCGGGGAAAAGGTATTGGTGGTAGCTCCGCCCTTGGTACTACTTTACCTAACCTTTCTAGCCTAGCCATGTAACGTAGTTGATCTTGAAGTTCATGCAGACGACACGTGATCCTGCTCAAGATTGGTTTACAAATGGGTTGACTTGGCGAAAAACTGAGACCCAATTCTAACAATGAACGCGCATTTTTCTGGAAGCGTTATTCCTCCTAGCACAGTAGCTCGTGCGAAAACAAAGGACCCGCATGGTGTGGTGGTGAACGCGTTACTCCCCGGAAAGGATAATAGCGCGTTCGTTCCCCACCATAGACACCTGCGGTCCAGAGTTTTGCAAATATCTCAGCAACGTTGTGGTTGTATTTCGCTTAGTAACCTGCCATGAAAATTATAGAAGGCAGAAAACAAAATCGTTAAACATTGTGATTTCAACTACAGCCATAGCTTAACTGGGTTCTATGCCGATTTGCGCTCTCCAGATCAACCCCGCTGACGGGTGATTGCTGTGGCAAAAAGATCGATAGAAATAGCTGAGAGACGTGCGAAAACAAAGGACCCGCATGGTGTGGTGGTGAACGCGTTACTCCCCGGAAAGCATAATAGCGCGTTCGTTCCCCACCATAGACACCTGCGGTCCAGAGTTTTGCAAATATCTCAGCAACGTTGTGGTTGTATTTCGTCTCTGTGATCGTTTGTGCAGCGCAGAAAACTGTATGGTCTGTCCTAACGGGAGAGACGGGGTTTGCATGAGTTCTGGTACAATATACTTCATTTCGTCTAAGGCATGCGGTGAGGAACATATTGTGGAAACGGATAGACCGCTTTGTGTCCACATAAAAGAGCATCTAGATGGGAAAGTTAAAATTCGTCTAGGTACTCCTCTAGGTACACATAGAGCACAAAAACACAATGGCGATGATTTTGAAGTGACTGTTCCTAGCGCAGGAATCAAAAACATCAACGCGCAAGACCCTTGCGGCGTTTTGGATAAATTTCAAAAATCCGAAGATGAAATATTTCAAAATGATATTTTGACCCCGCGGTATGTCCTGCTCGCGACCCCACGTGACAACGTGTGGGCCGTCCCACACGTAACATCGCGGTGAGTGGCCTTTCTGTTCAATATAATATGTCTATTTAAAAGTTTGATCTCCATTAATGCTTTAACCTTTTTTCCACCGAATAATAAAAGTATTGTAATATAAAATACGTCCAGACTTTAAAGAAGGCGAAGTTGCCGAAACGTCAGCCATCGCAACAACATCAACAGCGACAACGACAATGAAGACCTGTACCAACCTCGCATCAGCTCAAAAAGATCAGTTTATAAGGTCGTATAAATAAATATATGGAAATGACAGCTTGTTGGTTACTCCTTAAGGAAATGAAGTTAACCGAGTTTTTTAAAACTCTTCATGTTTTCTGCTTCTATCCCTCATTTCTTAGCTGAATGAAGGAATTTTCCATATTAGATGAAAAAATCGCTAACGACATTATTCTTTCTAACAATTACACGCATAGATGTGTAGAAAGCCTTATTTCTATAGTCGCGAAGGTATTAGAGCTACTCAGTGTTAGAGTATTTACTTGTTACTGTTAGAATACCCTTTCATAAATAACTACAGGTAAATGGAACAAAGAGAGAAAGAGTAACAGACTAAACGAAACAACGAAATCACGTGGAAGACAGAGGCCGTTGTCATCCCGAAAACTTAGGTGACCACCTAATAGCTGTCCACGGAATTTCCAACCGAAAGTTGTTTGCTTCCATGCAGAGCTGGTGAGAGCATGTCACCGTTAATAATATTGCTTAGAATAGTAGGATCATGTGTCACGTCTTGAAAAGAACCTGGAAGTTTGACAGCGCCGTGAAACGCTATTCCTCTATACATCTGCAAAGCAGGTCGAAATTAGAAGAGTTAGACACCTATCGTTCTGTCTGCTTGTGGTGAATTCAATACTTCCAGATAGTGATGAAGGTAACCAAGAACTTTTATTCCGACTTCATCAGTGCAGGTTATGTGCAATTTATATCCTCGTATACCTTATTCCTTTACTAGTTTGTTATATCAGGAATTTGAGGTGGCTAGAAACGACAAGGGCTAGTTTTTCCACAGAAGTACTTATGGACGGAAAACGAGTGCACTACTTTCAACAGACATGTGATGGCTGTCATCAGTAGATCGTCTTGTTGAGACACCAAGCGATAGATCGTTATAAACAATGCCTTTACGTGCTAGCAAATCATACAAAGTTGCTTTGAACTTTGTTACAACTTAACTAAATAATGACGAAATGAAATGCGGAAGTAGCAAATCATGGTGAGCGATAGTGTAATATCCAATCTACAATGTCTGAAGTTGTACCATCGACAGTCGTATTTAAAATAGATCTATTTGTCATCCACTATAAGACGAAACCGGTGATAGGAACGACGGCTAAGAGTTAGATAGCACGTTAATAACGTGCGATAACGTTAGATAGCACGCGACGAGGACGTAGGTGTAATCCGACGAACATCTGCAATTTGAGCGCATGTGTGTTCTATTCATACCAATCATATATTCGATGCTGTAAACGATTAGTGGATCATGCATTGATGGTTGGGGGCCAACATCTTAAGAACATACCACTGTCAGGGAGGACTATCAGCAAGAAATAAAACGACTAAGGATTACCTAAACGATTCAGGTGACATCCAATTAAGTGTGCAAGCGTGAGGATTTGACATTATGCGAGATGACAATGTGTCATTGAGATGCCTATGTAATTCATGTGAACACATTCCTCCTTGGTTAGAAGCGTTCACGCGTCAACACAAGGTGATTTAAGACAGTCTGATGAAACCTATCTGTTTAACGATTCAAAGCCATCAGGCGCAGCTGGCCAATGTATGAGTTATGTCGAATGGAAAATAACAATCGCCGGCTTGTTCGTCAGATTTCTTCAACGATACGCCGAGAGGCTGCGAAGGAGCTATTCGCGTTACTCATTGAGCTAATTGGTTCAGTAGGCACCCGCAGGACAATATAGTGGCGAACAGAGACTTTACTGATAGTGGCATGATTCACACAGTAGTAAAGCAGACCGTTATGATGCGGATAGGTGAGAAATGAAGGTCTTGTATGACATGAAGCTTACCACATAACAAATCATCTTCCAACTCTACCGTGAAACATGACAAATATTTTGTTCTGATAATATGCTGTATAGAGTGTACGTATAACCGCGTGGTTAGAGGAGCCTTTCAGCGCACATGGGGTCGATCACCTCGCCCGAGGCTCACCAAGCCTTCCGTCTTTCCGGTGTCGGCAGTTTGGTACCAAACTTGGCTGGGAGAATACCAGCACTGACTTTATACATCGGTAGGGCATCGCGAGGCATCCTATAGATCACATCTACATTCTGTCACCTCCAGCGACACCTAATAAAGTCGAATGCACGGCACATCTCTCAGGGATTGATCAACGTCGAGAGATTTACACTTTTATTATATTGTATACGAAAAGTGTACCAGCTACGCGAAGTAAAAAGAAATGGCGGCATTGTGAATTTAATTCGAAATCTTTCCCAGTTTTAAGCGATGTCGAGATCTATCTGTCATTTTACCAATCTTTCTATAAATGAGTTACAATCAAACCGGCATCATAGTTGCGTACGAAGCGATGAATCTGCCTCCTTCATGAATCTTACACAACAAATCTCCGACAAAATGTGCTCGAATCGCAAAGTCGTCTATTCCAACAACAGTTTCGAATGTCGTATTGAACCTGGAATGAAAAGCTCTGAGACGAAACGCATAAAAACCCTATAATCCTGTAGGAAGTGACAATTTCTAATCTTTAGAGTATTCCTTATTCTATATGACGTGACATTTACTATTACTACACTGTGAGAATAAACTAAGATTTTGTATAAAGGATTAGTAACTTTATGCTATACAATGAAAGCAGTCGATTTAGTAGATTATCGTGATAATGGATATAATTTTAATATCAATATAGTTATGCATTAGCACTATAGGAGTTTATAATAAGAATGCTCCATAATTTAATACAATAAGTACTATAATGCAATAATATTGAGGAGAGGGGTAGGACAGCGGTTATGATGGCGTTTATCACGGGCAAGGTAATGGTTCGAGACGGTCCGTGCCCATTAAACTTGTTATCTCTCTGAGGCCCGGAAATTGGTTCAAGATTACTTGATACTTAATACTTGAACGGCGCGTCCTCACTTGTTGTGCGAACTCTAGCATAATCACCACTTTTCGAAGATTTGCTGGTTAAGCCATTGGGATTCCCTCAAATCCCGAGGTCATCTTGGCCAAAGTCCGCTCCAGGTCTTCAACCCCACAAGCAGTCGTAGCCCTTATGGATCAGAGGGAGGTTTGCCACCATGCGACTTTGATGCCAGGACAGTGGTGGATCCTGGTATTGGTTTGCTTTTAGCTAGGCTTCCTGATGGAATAGCCGGATTCTTTCTCAGCTTCGGAGACTCTGACAGGGGAACGAATCCTCCCGCTTTACATCGCAGTCTGACAAATTTGTCTGGGAAAAGTTCACACTTTTGAATCCAAGCGGGAACACTCTAGCCCGGTTCAGGATTGCAGGAAGAATTAACTCGATCAGCACTCAACGACATCCACAACGAAAGGAAAATCCTCCATCCGCAGCCGAACCCATATGAAAAAAGTTCGAAGACCTTCGTGGATGATGCGCACAACGAAACGAATGGAATGCGAGAAGTGCTGGGATCCGCACAGTAGATGTTAAAGACGGGTCGCATAAATAATAAATATGAGTAAGAATAAGACCTTCATACATTCTATTCTTTTTGCTCCCTCGAATCCATCTATGAAAGTGGTATTCTTTGTGTTTGATGAACTATTCAAGCTTTGTTCGCTAATCAGTCACTTTTGTTGAGTCGTAAACACACCATAAGTTTATGACATCCGTACACTAGGTGATGGTCTCTTTAGAATATGCTCCTACCCACTGCAGTCTACCACTCTTCTCATCACATAACGTGACCGTCATCTACAATTCTCATTAGACCAATCTCATTCCCTAATTGAGCATATAGTTGAATCCAGACGAACACTGCCATTTACCTCAATTACACTCCATTTTCTGTTACTCTGTCGTGGGAAAGGGAAGTTGCTTTAATATCTGCTGTCAGAGCAGTAGTTCATCTCCTAGCCATGGTTAAAGGATAAAGGATAAAGCTCTCGGCGTTGATCAATCCCTGAGGGATGCGTCATGCATTCGACTTCATTAAACGTCGTCTGGATCTGATTGAATGCATATCTGGCCTTTACAATGGCTCGCAGTGGCCCACCAAAGTGTGGAGACAGTGCCGCCATCCTCTCAGACAGGTCTGGCACCAATTTTACTACCCCGGAGAAATGGAAGGCTTGGTGGGCCATGGGTGCGGGGATCGAATCCACGTTTGTGTTGCAGGGCGCCTCCCACCACTGCGCCACACGCGCTGACCGCGGCTACTAAAACTAAAACGAAGGTCGGCATCTCTCCTTTGCGATCACTGTTTCTTTTGATCATGTCGATCTTGTATGCGTCCTCTTACCCTGCGAGTACAGCACTTTTAGCATCGGCTTTGGTTTTGTCTTCAAATCACCTACATCAGCTGTTTTTGATATGCAATGCATATTTGTAAAAACTTTCTCTTTCTTTTCTCTTAGGTAGCCCTGCCGTGCACAACTTATTTGGGAAACTCTACCGCTACAGCAGCAGCATTTTTATCGCTTTGAAGTTGAATCTGAATTCGAAAGCAGAGATTTTAATCAATTCAGCTGCGAAATATTGACATGATTGAGGTGTTATGTGAACAAGGTTTTCTGCATGGACGAGACGTTCTTTTCTCAAAAAAATGGCTCTTCTGGAGAAAACGTTATGTTGGCAGTATTAGTTTCATTTCTCGTTACCATTTCTTATCCCAGATCTCTCGATTCATTTCTCTTCGCTTTTTTCTGCTATGGAATAAAAGTCCCCGCGACAAGAAATCTATAAGGTTTTGCTTCGGACCTTCTTCCAATTTGTTTCAGGACGAGTACGGACTCGCATACTTTAAGACTAGCATGAGGAAGGACTGGTAACTAGGATGAACGACAGGATGTCGTATTATTATGGTTGACGTCGTGAGGAACACAATACGTGGAAAAAAGTCGGCGCCAAGAATATTTTGTGCCGCCGTTTTCTCTCTACTGGAGATTGTCATTGAACTTTGAATGTGTCGATTTTACTGGATCACGAAGTAGTTTTTTAGCTAGCGTTATTATTTTCGTCCAGATTCAACGTCATTCAAGGAAATCGCGATTTTACTAGGTTACACTTGGTGTCTGTCATATCGTCGTAGATTTGGAGCCCCGAGTACAACGTATTAAGGTCCAGGTTTTTTTCCTAAATTGTTGAGACAACTTTGTTAAAGTTTCCCTATGTTGTAATTGCACCTAATTTAGTCGATTCTTGTAGCTCAAATGTAGGTGCCCAAATTTGCCTTGGTATCTATCCTTCAGATTTAGCCGAGCTTTCGTAATATTCTCTTAGAGTGCAAACTAAGGTTCATCACTAGAGATACAAGTCGTGGCTTAGCCGAACACAGGTGCACAATGTGTTTAGTATCGTATATGCAGAATTTGAGGAGCATGTAACTCAGTACATAATCGGGCCCTGCATTACACACATTGTCGTTGGTTCCAGACCACAGACCGGAGATAACTAGAGATTGTTGCTTTTTTGGGTCGAAAGAGTGACACGAGAGTGTTCTACATGGCTAAATTTGTTGTGACACATTTCTAGGCCGTTAAGGGAGACTTTATGGGCCATATATGAATTCGATCATCTTGGTTAACTGAGTGAAATGGAAGGATCGTTCCTAAAGGAATGGTCAATGCTGACCATTTTATTGAAGAATTCAAACCCAAACAAAAAACCTACGCATTCTCGCAGTCCGTCTGTATCCGGTTGACGATTTTTTGCACGCTGCACTCATTAAAGCGGTAAGCTTTTCGAAGTTTCTGATAACTTTGTCGCATTACCGACTCCAGATATCGATTACAGCATAAGAATCCTGGCAAGAAAAAGTCGTAAATACAAATACCACTTTCGTTGTAATCGTTAGGCATATCATTCAAGACGCTATTCCAAACTGTTAAAATATTCTTAGCTCTGAGATAGAGGTCAGGTGACGTATAGGGAAAAGGGAAGGACATTAATAACAATAATAATAGTAATTACTATAATGCTGAGATGTTTGCAAAACTCCGGACCGCAGATGTCTGCGGTGGGGAACGAACGCGCTATTGTCCTTTCCGGGGAGTAACGCGTTCACCACCACACCAACCAGGTCCTTCGTTTCGCCTGCCTCTCAGCTAGTTCTATCGATCTTTTGCCATCAGCAATCACCCGTCAACGGAAATGATGTGGAGAACATAAATCGGCACTGAACCCAGTTAAGCTGAGGTTACGGTCGAAATTGAAATGCATGAAATAAACAAGAATAAAATAAATATTTCACATAATACCCTGCCGAGGAAGAAGTAGTAGGCAATAAATAAAAAGCTGCACATTGTGATTGCGACTTCAGCATGAGTTTAACTGGATTTCGTGCCGATTTGTGCACCCTAGATCATTCCAGTTGACGTGTGATTGCTGATGGCACCGTTAGAGCAAAAAAATTGGCTGAGAGAAAATTAGGGAGAGGGCCTCAGTGGTTCTATGGGTAACATATGAACCTCCGCAAAGGATAACCGTGTGTTCGAACCTGTTCTTGCGTCCAAGTTTTGCAAATGCCCCAGCATCACTGTGGTTGTATTCCACAAAATATCTTGCCATGAAGAAATAATAGGCAGTAAGTAAAATCTTGTATAATTCTTTCCACTTCTGCTCAGCAAAGACGAGGTGCTCATTAATGACTCATTACGCTTCCATGTGAATTCTGTGCGGTTGGTCCTCACACGACATACTCAATGGAAGACTCATAGAAAGCGGCTCTGAGGAAGGCGAAATCCGCCGAAACGTCAGCTTTTACGTTAGTGGGAAAGTGGAATAGCACCTCGTGTTTGCTGAGCAGAAGCGGAAAGAATTGTTCAATCAATGCCGAGGTTAATAGAAAGTCGGACGTGGGAGTTACTACAAGATGTACCAGCAAAATCTTGTATATTATGACTTCAGCTTATGTTTTCGATTTCTTGAATGTTTTAGCTTCAGAGGTGTTCAAATAAGATACTGTGCGGAAATTGTATAGGCGGTCAGAGCGACTGGGAAATGTCTCTTCTCTAAACCTACAAAGTTCTAAAGCCTTGAATTGCTCTAATGATAGAGAAATTATCGTAAGTTGTCGAAAAACCAACTTTGTCGCAGGAGAGTTAAATTGAGTTTCGGGAATGGATAAGCCCATAAAAACGCAAGCACAACAACTCAGCAGATAAGGAATTCTTCCATAACAACGACTGTGAAAACGCCCTGCGTTGAAGAACCACTGCAAGTCATCGTTTGACAACGTCCCTTGATAAACGGGAACGGTTCAAAGATGGCTGCTGACCGTTTCCTTCTAGAGGTCTAAGTCTTATTAAACACAGTAAACATTCTACTTCATTCACCAGAAAAATATCATAAAAAAATAATTTCAACCTCAGCTCCATAGGTTTTTTGAAATTCTGAAGAAAATCTTTGCATACTGTGTAATAGTGAACTACCTATGGCAGAAATATCGATAGTGGAAATTTTCTGATGCGATTTTTACAAATTGTTTTTTGTTCTCATCTATAATTTTTCTAGAATGATAGAAACTACTGCAAATTACTCAACCGTCAACATTCATGTAGCAGTGACTGAACGGATACGGTGGTGGTTTGCGGATTTTGCCGATGATGTCGTTTGAGTGCAAACCCCCAGATTCTTCCATGAGATTTGTGCTGAAACGAACAAAGCTGGGCACTAAGGCAACTTGTTGGATACCGTTGTCGATATCGAAGCCAATAGCCGATGACGCTTTCGCCTTATCACGCCATAATCGTATCGGTGCCTGAACACGGTATTTTATGCAATACATCTGCAACTTAGCTTAAGAGTTCATTTACTGAAAGAAAGTGTACTGGGAACAATGACGAAGAACTTCTACATTAGAATTTTAACACTGCTTCATGAAGAATTCAAAGATCTAAGAATTCTGAATATTGCTGTAGTTCAATAACTATGATAATACTATCTCATAATGAATAAGGAATATTCATACGTGTTCAGCTTGAATGACAAAGTTGTGGCACCTTGGCTATTGTTTGTAAACGAACAAAGTACAATAAAGTAGCATTTGTAGTAATGTGATTGTTTAATGACACTTGACCGAAAAATGCACAGTGCCATTTCTAGTTTATAAAGTATTCTATAACTTTCGGTACTGAATAGAAACAACATTCCTAGACTTGATACCTAAACTTGATACTTGAATGGCCCGTCCTCACTGGCTGCGCAAGTGCTGGTATAATTTCCATTTTTTGGAGATTTGCTGTTGGAGCCATTGCGGTTCACTGGAATCCCGAGGACAGCCTGGCCAAAGTCCGCCCCAGGTCTTCACCACCACAAGCAGTTGCAGCCCTTGTGAATCAGAGGGAGATTTGCTACCATGCGGCTCTAATACCAGGACGGTGGTGGGTTCTGGCATTGGTTTACTCTTAGCTAGGCTTCCTGATGGAAATATCCTTAGACTAGATATTTATTATCCGAAATCAATAGGCAATCAGTTGCTACCAGAACACTTTTTATGCCAATGTCCTTTTTAAAAATCTGCTCACCATGACAAATCACTAGATTGAAGAGACAGACATTCTCCCTAATCAGCAATTATAAATAGAACTCACTGAGCTGAATGGTGTAGTCGGCTTCATGTGCTCTGGATTCAATCGTACATTGGCCGTTTGGTTAACCGAATTCGCTAAAGCACTTCGCTTGGAGAATATCGGCGGCGTCTTCTGGACAACAAAAGCGCCTTATTAGATCCAACAAATAAACAGTTGATTAAATGACAAACAAACAAGTAGAGCTCATAGGAAGACGACACAGGTGTTTTTGTTGTTGTCCACAAAAAAGTAACACCAATCTATTTGAAGATGTCAGTTAGAAAACATAAAACACGCAGAAGATCCATACCAGCACCGCGTTTGCGTGCTCTGTTCTGATGACTTTTTGAATTCTATCGGCTGTGAGTGGAGACATATTCATCGATGGAAACTTGATCCTAAACAGGAATTGTTGTAAGGTTTCGTACAAAGGCATTTACTCAGCAATTTAAGCTTCCTACGTAGGACACGTACAACATTAGTGCCGAATGATCTCATCCAAGCGTGATTAGAAATTTGCATGAAAACACTTCCATACAATTTTAGGATCTTCAGCATTTATATACTTTGGCTTGGTGCCTTTTCTGAGCATCAAACGTCACCAGCATCCCTTCAGAAGTGTCACTCTTGCTGAGGAAAAGTTTCATTCGGAATTTCAGTTAAAGTAAATTTATGCTACGCATAAATTAGCGAGCTACTCATGACTACCTTCTTGCAAGGAACGGCAAAAGCTGAAGTCTTTGTAGCAAAAGTACGAAGCTCTTCGGGTTCTACAAAATAGCGCAGTTCAGTAAGCAGTTTTGAGGGGCGAAATGGAGACATGAAAATTTTAAACGTTACTGATTAAGTTCGTAAATGATTACAGAAGTTGAAAGTATTACGTATAGTAATAGCTTGCCTAGCTACTGGAATTTTGTTCTTTTTGTACAGGATACCATCTTTCACCGTATATTTCAGAGGGTTGTCAGCTTCTGAAGCTAGTCGTTCAGCTTCAGCGGCTTCGATTTGGTCTGCAAGCTTCTCAACGAACGACTGCTGCTGTTTCTTGGATGCCATATTCATCTGTAACAATCACAACTTCCGAAATAAAGTAGAACATACAGTATTCAAAATCTTTTAGAAGTAAACGAAAAGATACGCTGCTTCAAATAAAAGTCCAGAATTTTGGAAGTCATGCGGTGATTCGTCTCATCATTTCCAAATAACGTGAAGAGTTCAACGGATCATCTCAAATGTAATGTTTAAATGTGGTGACCACTTTCTGATTTTACGAAGTAGCCTTTATAGTTTGCAAGTACACACAAGCAACTGTTCTTTACAAATTAAAACAAGGTCAAGTTTTTGAGGTTGATTGTATTTCATGAGACGACAAACAATAAAGGGGATGAAGTGATCAATATTTCTTAAACCCTAAGGGATAAGCTATGTATTTGACTCCATTCTCACATGCATTGCTGAGCCTACTGAAGTATTAAATCAGTTCAAACTGGCTTGGGGGTCCAAATTCCGGAAATATCTTAGCATCATTGTGGTTTTATTGAGTTAGTGCTTTCATCCTACCAAACAAGTCAGACACCAATTTATCGATCTTAGAGAAATGGAGGAATTGCTTTGACCGAGGTTTGAAATCTAACTAACGATGATTTGCGTCGAGGAGGTGCTCTAACAACTGTGCTACACGCCGTTCGATAAACGCCCGCAAAACATTGTATTAAGTCACAATCTTAACCTTTTTATTTACTGTCGATTCCTTTTAATGGCAGCGTATGTTGCGAAATATAACTTCTATGATGCTGAGATATTTGCATAACTCCGGACCACAGGTGTCTGCGGTGGGAAACGAACGCGCTATTATCCTTTCCGGAAAGTAACGCGCTCACCACCACACCATGCGGGTCCTTCGTTTCGCCTGTCTTTCACCCATCTTATTGGTCTATAGGCGCTATCAGAAACCATCCGTCAACGGGAACGGAGACAGTAGAAGTGGATAATAGAGGACCCGCATGGTGTGGTGGTGAACGCGTTACGTCCCGGAAAGGGTAATAACGCGTTCGTTCCCCACCGTAGACACCTGCGGTGTAGAGTTTTGCGAATATTTCAGCATCATAGAAGTTTCTCCCAAGTCCGACTTTCTATTAACCTCGGCATTGATTGAATATATATCTTTCTACTTCTCTTCAGCAAACACGAAACGTTAGCTTGTGCGTAAATAAAGAAATAAGATAGCACCTCGTGTTTGCTGAAGAGAAGTAGAAAGATATAGAAGTTACTGATTTAAGTGTTTTTTGTTGATTTAATGTGTATAGAAAAATAAGAAGGTTTTGGGAAAATCACGATGTTCAGCCATTTACTGGCCATTTGAAATGTTAATAAATCTTTAGCACATAAGTAATTGCAAGCAAGCCAACACAGAATAGGAAGATACACCTACCACGTCAAATTTTTGCATATTCTTTCCAATCGGATACACCCTAGCTTCCGGCTTCTTAAACATATTTCCAGATTTTGGATCCTTGGAATCCATCTGTTGGGAATTTTCTGTCCCTCGTTTCAACGTTTTCTGCTTTTAAAAAAAACGATATCGACGAAGGTCTGGATGATTTCTTCAAGCTTCCAGATAATTCTCCAAAAACAAGCATTCGGAATTCGATGACGATCACTAACCTGCCTAGTTCGAGTGCTATTTGGGTTTATAGTCTTGTTCTTTTTAAGATATTGCTTTAATCGAATAATCGTAGAGTCAACGGGCGAATTTTGTAAATGGAACAAATTTGGCAGAATCAACGTCAATGGATCTGCCGTTCTTTGTGGCGGTAACCAAATTGGAGACTGAAATAAGAAATACCATGTCATTTAAAAACATCTGTTCAGAGCTATCTTCACTTGTGTAACAAAAGTATACGAACCATTTTGCATTCTTCATCTGGCCGGTCTTCAATAAGTACTAGCTTGCATAAGTGCGATAACATCGGCGAAAATCGCGCTGTCCAATCAATACGTATTCTTTGCATGCTGCGCGAGAGTAGAAAAAAGGTGATGAATTTCTCATCTCCGCAAGATTTCCGTTTGGTGAAGCAACATTGGTCTTACTGGTCTATTAATTTTGATAGCTCGGACAAAAGAAAAACAACACTGTTATTTCAACTTTTTACATAAAAAAAATTGAAAAAACAAAAAAAATTGGAAAGAAAATTGAAGATTCATCCAGTTTAAAATTCAGTCTTTGAAAAGGGAACAATATGAAAACCATTGCAAAATTCGTTCCGCTCCAAGTTCTGCTTGACTTGAGATTTCTGTTTTTGTTCTACTTAAACACTAAAGTTCTATTGTTCAAAGCAAATGCTATACATCAAGAACTGCACAATCTAGCTTTTCAAACCATTAATTACTCAGTTTTCATGAATGAAAAAAGAGATGCGCTTTCATCCTAAGCAGAGAAGCGTATCAGTTGTTAAAAAACTTCGAAGAGATTGAGGAATTCTGTGGTAATCACTGCACTGTTTACGAGCTCTTTTCATGCCTATAGTGCTGCTTGCTTGTTGGGACGATTTTCATGAAATTTAATGAGAAATAGGCAAAAAATAACAAAATTTCACCTACTGGTGGGAGTACGGTGGTGGCGATGCCACGCGGTACCGATCGTGTCCACGCAAACACTTGACCCGTTGTGTTTAATGGGTAGAGCGGCAATTTTGGTGGTGCTGGTGGCTGACTACTGACGTTGTCGGGTAGAGACCGTCGAAAGAATTTCGAAGTGACACCAAACGATTGTCGCATCTTTCGTCGGAGTCTTGAAGTGTCGTTACGGATTTCGGCCAATCGATGACGATTACGGTAGCTCTGAAAGTAGTAGACGATATGGTGGCTAGATGATGTCTGCTTAATACATTCGCCACCCTAAGAGCCGTACTTGGCTCAATTTCTTCTTAGCTGTTTAGTTTGCACAGCAGAACTTTGCTTTCACCTTCTTCCACTTAGTCGGATGCTTAAGAAACAAAGATGTTGACGTATCCCGACAAAAAATATAGTTTACGAGATAGGTACGAATGGTGATAAAAGTACGGAAAAATACCGAGTTATAATGAACACATATTGTGAAACCAGTTATCAAAGGCTAACAACATCAACCGTAGCTGAATGATTAACGGACGTTCACGTTTACGATCAAATACAAGAGATGAGAATATTTTAAAAACCAATAAACAGTAGACCTTCCCATTTAGAAATAAGTAGAGTATTAAGAATACAATACTACGAACAAATTGCATCAATGAACCAAGTTGGAGGGTGAAATGCGTAAGAATGGGTGTGGTCAATTTTGCGGCGGTAGACGAGACCACGCAAGTCATATATGGTTCGCGGCGCTCATGGCGAAAAATTACCCACAGTGTTTCATTTTTTATTTACTGCCTACCACAATTTTCATGGCAGGGTATTATTCGAAATCAACAACGATTTTGAGATATTCGCAAAACTTGCACCCTGTGCCAGATCGAACCACGACTTCTCTTTCCGGGGGCTCTCCCATCACACACTGCTCAACGAAGGCCCTTGATCTGCGTTTCTCTCAGCTATCTACCAGTGCCATCAGCAATCAGCCTGAGAAAGCTGAGAAAAATGCAGAGCAAGGGCCTCCGTGGCGCAGTGTATAATGGGCGAAACCCCGGAAAGGAAAATCGTGATTCGATCTGGTCCGGGGTCCAAGTTTTACGAATATCTCGGCAACGTTGTGGCTGATTTGGAATTTACCCACAGTCCTATTTCAAGAAACGCCACATAAACTTAGTAAAACTCTCGAGAATTATTTCATATTGCTACTTCATATTGCGCTTTCTACTATGTTCACTTGTGTCAAAAAGGTGTAAAATGAGTTTGGAACGCGGCTTGTTCTTCTTGACACTTGTGCCCGTTTTTATCCCCATCCTTGTCCTTGTGACCGACGTTGCATTTCTACGCTACACAAATAACCAATTTAACTATGGCGATTTTTTAGCCTCACTTAACCTTAACCAGAAACTGTGTTTTCCAAGCTATTACAGTAGATTTGAGAAATAAAACAGTCCGCTTAAATTTAGTACCAATGAAAATTTGAATCTAAGAGACGAGAACGATTGCCCGCAAAATCAACGTACAATTGGATAAGTAATCATTACCGAAGATTAGGTGTCACATCACTTTTAAAAGCTTTGCCGTAAAGATGATGAGACGGTTTATAGGAGTTTGTGGAAGAGGTGGTTTCCAGTACAACGCCAGCTCCACACAGCGTCATTTAAATCGGAAAGTGAAAAAAACCCGATGAATACATCCGAAAGGCGACGACGTTCTCGAATGCAAAGCTCAACAAAGATGAGACACAAAAAGTTACTCGAGCCCAAATGTGCATCAAAACGATTTCATGGAATTTCGTAGTTGGCACAAAATTAAGTATTCTTTCTTTGATGAGCTTACACGAGGTTGATAATGATGTTTATTTTCGGCTAACGTTTTGACGTCTTCGTCTTTCTCAGAGCCTGGAAAGGTCAAGTTGATAGCAATCTACTCGGCCAGACGCCTCCATAACCAAACAAAGAAACTCTAAACCAAGATTTCAATCACGTTGAACACAGCTTTGCACACTCATCGCTTCCTATGAGGTTTCCACTAAGTATGTCACGTAGAGACCATAGTACCATACCATACGTAGTATGTCACATAGGAAGCGGTGAGTGTGCAAAGCTGTGTTCAACGTGATTGAAATCTTGGTTTAGAGTTTCTTTGTTTGGTTATGGAGGCGTCTGGCCGAGTAGATTGCTATCAACTTGACCTTTCCAGGCTCTGAGNGGCGGATTTCGCCTTCCTCAGAGCCTGGAAAGGTCAAGTTGATAGCAATCTACTCGGCCAGACGCCTCCATAACCAAACAAAGAAACTCTAAACCAAGATTTCAATCACGTTGAACACAGCTTTGCACACTCACCGCTTCCTATGTGACATACTACGTATGGTATGGTACTATGGTCTCTACGTGACATACTTAGTGGAAACCTCATAGGAAGCGATGAGTGTGCAAAGCTGTGTTCAACGTGATTGAAATCTTGGTTTAGAGTTTCTTTGTTTGGTTATGGAGGCGTCTGGCCGAGTAGATTGCTATCAACTTGACCTTTCCAGGCTCTGAGGAAGGCGAAATCCGCCGAAACGTCAGCTTAGTCGTGGACAAAGAATAATAACACCTCGCGTTTGCTCAACAAAAATACGAAGAAAATTACTTGATCAATGCCGAAGTTAATAAAAAGTCGGTCGTGGCAATTAAATTAAGTCTTGAGCAAAAAATTGACAAAAACACTAAGAAAGGCAACATTTTAGAACAGCACTGATTAATCGGAAAGTGCAAGCCCCTTTCTCATGCTTTTCGTTTACTGAAAACGTGATTTCCACCTTGATATAGAATGGCATAACTAGTGAGAAAGTTATGGACTAAATTTCTGGACACAAACCCTCCATGCAACACTCCGAAACCTCCACCGGAAAAAGACGTTTTCCTCTGCGTTTTCAATAATAATCGAGAGCACGAAGAGAGACACAACTCAAAGGATTCTCAGCATCACGAGCGTCATCCATTGAGTTGGAATTCATCAGTTTTGTGTACTTGTTGAGACTCTTTTATGATATTATGCTTTCTAAAGAATAGGTTCTCTATTCTCTATTATATATTGGCGAAATGGGCAGACCTTTGTGTATCCGTATAAAAGAACACCTAGATGGCAAACGAAAACTAAGACGAAGCACCCCACTAGGCACGCATAGGATACAAAAGCATAGCGGAGACGATTTTGAAGTAAAAGTCAATATCCTTGCACAGGAGTCCAAAACACCAGCGCGAAAACTCCTTGAGGCTTTTTGGATCAATGCCAAAAACCCTACAATGAATAGCAGGGACGAATGTCCGGAGGTCATGCGCGACCTGATCCCGTATGTTCGCATCGATTTTTGATGTGGCATCCATAGTTTTTCGTCTTTTTGTAAGTGGTATTGAAGCGTCTGGTCTAGTAGACTGTATATCAGTATACCCTTCCAGACTCTGAAGAAGGCGATACTGCCGAAACGTCAGCTGGTGTTGTATTGTATTGTGTTTTTCATGGAAGTAAATGTATGCTGTTTAAAAACCTCGCAATTGCTGAACAAGAAAACGACGCATTCAAATAGGTTCTCTATCCTGCTGCTTTATCAACTCACCCAAGGTCATTTAAGTAAACTATGATAACTGGACGAAGCCGGGATAGACTTTGTTGCCAATGAAGTTGTGGTGCTAATCACAAAGAATTGCACAGCGCTCATATAGCAATTTAAATAGAATAATATGAAGTGGATGAACGTGGAGCCTAGACATATTGAGCATCATTCTAAATTTCCTTGACTGTTTAATGCCGTACCACTATGGATTGAACTTGTTAAATCGATGACAAAAAGAAAATTCCTTGCTAGTGTATAGGCCGAGCGGGAGACAGTTTCTTCCACGGCACCAGTGACATCTTGGCCTACGTATGCCTTGTTAAAAATCCGACATTGTCTCACCTACAGCTAATTTGCCAAGCAGAAAATGCTGAGAACGTTAGATCCTGGAGCAATGGCTTTGCAGAATGACTAGTACTGGGTGAATAGAAATTTGTCTAAATATCTAGGAAGGTTTACATATCTAAGATATCTAGAAAGATACCTATAGAGAAAGATATCTAGAAAGGTTTACAAGTTGTCACAAGTAGTGTCGCAGTTATCACAGGTGTTGTGCCACTAGGTGGCCTGTCATATCACTGGTAGCCCTAAAGTAGTTGTACTCTGATGTATTTACTAATGCAGACAACAAATTTAGTCCGACCAGCCGTAAAGTTATTTATTTATATTACTTTTCGATATTTGGAAAAACTTAATATGCGATGTAGAAAATAAATCATAAACACAGAGAAGATGTGTAACAAAAGCTAGCATTGAACATTCGGTATGTACTTTACGCTCAAGGAGTGTGTTAGTGTGTCTCAAACACTGAATGGCGCTGTATCGTAGGTAACTATCTTATCTTCAGCGATTCGAATCTGGATAAAAACTAGTGTAAGAGGAACGAGATCCTGGATGTGGTACCCGTAGTTCGCTTGGTATGGTCGCGTTCAAACTCACATAAAAGGATAAAGCTCTCGGCGCTGATTAATCCCTGAGGGATGCGCCATGCATTCGACTTCATTAAGCATCGTTTGGAGGTGATTGAATACATATCTGGCCTTTAAAATGACTCGCGGTGGCCTACCGATGTATCGAGCCAGTGCCACTAACCTTCCAGACTGGTCTGGTACCAATTTGCCGACCCCGGAGGGATGCAAGGCTTGGTGGGCCATGGGCGGAGTGATCGATTCCACGTGGCTATTGCAGGGCGCCTCCGACCACTGCGCCACATGCGCCCTCAAATTCATATAGAGCGCATAAATTTTAGTCATGACTTCAAGACTTTGACGAGATAAAATGTGCACGATAACCACATGAATCCAGTTGATCGAAACCCAGAAGGTTATTTTCTGATGGATTTGCGTCGTATTGCAAGTATATGACTCGTTTTTATTTCAGCTCACTAGCTTACATGAATCACGTAGCCAGAGAAGAAACTGGGTATCACCTCTCAGATGAGTGACATTCTTTTCCTCATATATATCCGAGGACTATATAGTCATTTTCGACGAAAAAACGGACAGTTACAGAAAAAGAAAGCTTTCGGAAATTTGAAACCACAGTAACTTCATATGTTGGACAATATTAT